GACCTTGTGAATGTACTAAAAGCCACTGAAGTGTTCACTTTAAAACAGTTAGTTCCGTGCCATGTGAATTTCACCTCAATTAAAAACATTTTTTAAATAAAATAAGCTAGGAAGGCAGCTGGCACATTTCTTCCTGGCTTCCTCCTGGAAGCAGCGCGGTGGGTTGAAAGCTGGGGCAGGGCAGGCATCCTGAGCAAACATGCCCAGGCACTAAGCAGCCTGTGTCCCTTGAGGGTAATCCCTGCAAGGGGGCAGAAATGAAACGCAGGGTGTCAGTGGGGTGCACATTCTGGAGGAGGCAGACACAGGGCCACAGAGACAGGGAGAAAGAGGGAGAGATCGGGAAAGAGGGAGAGAGAAACAAAGCGCTAAGAGAGAAACTCAGGGAGGGACAAACAGGGGAGAGGGCAGAGGCGGGGAGGAGGGAGGGCTCTTGGATGAATTAAGCAAGCCAGGAGGACCACAGAGTCCTGATTGCTCCCTGCCGGGCAACACGTGAATAAGGAGCTGAGAAAAAAGAAGCAGAAAATCAGGTTTTTTTCCTCCCAGTGACAAATCCATCCCACAAGCCAGATGGAGGCTCAGACACAGGCCTTTGTGTGGGCCTGGGGAAGGGAGGCCACCTCGCTGGTCCCCACCGTGGGGGGTGGACGCATTCCAAGGGGCTCTCAGGGATGATGGGAGGGCGGGCATCCTATGTGGTGTGGGCCTGGGGAGTCTTTCCTTCTCTGAGCCTCGCCTGCTTCATCTGTAATTAGAGCACATTGTGTTTTCCAAAAATGACTGCAGCAACATTTTCAGAACTTGCCAAATGAGAAATACAGACTAATTCCCCTCCCTCCGAATAGTGGGCAGGTCTTTGCAACTGCATGGACTTGAAAGAATGCAGCAGATGCTACACGACTTCTGAGACGAGGTCGTGAAAGGTAATGTGGACATTTGCCCTTGGAACCTGGCCGCCATGTTGTGAGGAAGCCCAGCCCACATAGGGAGGACATAGTCATGTGCGATGTTTCACACAAGAACACCTGCTAAAGTCTCAGCCTACAACCCCAGATCCAACAGCAACCACAGGTATACGAGGGGACAAGCCTTTGGAGGTCTCCACGCTCAGACTTTGAGCCATCCCAGCTGGTACCCCATGAAGCAGAGACCAGATATCCATGCTGAACCCTGCCCAACTCAAGATCCATGAATGAAATAAATATCACTGTTTTAAGCCACTAAGTTTGGGATGGTCTGTTATATAGCAGCAGACACCTAGAAGGAACAGCAGCGTACCTGATGCTTTGCTATCACTCCTGAGATGTTTGCTGTGGACGGATGGGCAGTTCTCAAAGGGCCGCCACCTCCCCTATAAGGTCATGGGAGTGGGCCCTAATCCAATATTTTCTGGTGTCCTTATAAGAAGAGGAGATTAGGACACAGACATTCTCAGAGGAAAGACCCTGTGAATATAGTGGGAGAAGGTAACCATCTACAAGTCAAGCAGCGGGGCCTCAGAAGACACCAACTCTGCTGACACCAGGACTTCCAGCCTCCTAAACTGTTAAAAAATAAAGTTCTGTTGTTTAAGTCATCCAGTCTGTGGTGCTTTGTTATGGCAGCCCTAGAAAACTAATATAATCAGTGAACCCACTTTACAGATGGGAAAACAAAGCTCTAAGAGTTAGTGCCTCACCAGGCTGCCCAACTAGTAAGTGATAGAGTGGGCTTGGATCCTTCCTGCCTCTCTGGGGGGTGGGAGTGACCCCATTTGCTAGGCCTGAATGTAGCTAGATAGAGTAAACCAGCACTGATTACTCAAAAACTCCAAGCTGCACCCAGGGCAGACATTGCCAGTCCATTGCAGCACACTCTCCCCCAGCCCCAATGTGACCTGAATCTCTTTCTCCAGCCAGGCAGTCCCATGGGGGCCAGAAATGGCCAGAGGAAGACAGACGGTCCTGGGCACAGCTCAGAGGGGCCTGCCTAAGGCTGCCCTATTTGGATAGCCCTTTGGGGGAGCTGGTCTGGCTCTGTGCGGGTTATTATAGTGCAAATATTACCCCAGGAGGCCCTTATGGTTAATTCATCAGCATGATGGTCACATGGCATCTGTGAGATAAGCCAGGACTCTACACAGAGTCTTATCCAGGGGGCAGAGCTGGGCCTACCAAGGGGAAAATTATTGATAAATATTTTCCTCAAGAGGAACCCTTCTCCCTGTGCATACCCCAGCCATTGGGTCAGGAAAGTTTAGCAAGACCCCAGCCTTGGAGTCTGAAGGACACCCAGTCTGCCCCATTGAAATCACCCAGAGGATTAAAATAATTACCTGAGCCAGCCCCACCTTCAAAGAGTCTCATGGGATTGCCCTGGGGAGGGTCCAGGCATAAGTTTTTCTTTAAAGCTCCCTGGAGATTTTCTCAGACTCTGAGACCCACGATATGAACCTCATTGGGAATCTGGTGGTGCAGAGGTGACCCTGGGTTTGAGGATTCCTTTAGGTCTGCTGTCAGTTTCTCAATGGGGCAAACTTGTCACTGCTGCAGGACCTTTGCACAGGCTGTTCCTGCAGCAGCCTCTACACTCCACCCTTTGCAGTTTCCTAATCCTCCCTTGGACCTCAGCTTAAACACCACCTTCTCCAAGCTGTCTCTCCCTGATTCTCCTGCTTTCTTTCCTCTTCTCTCTCACCATTCCCTGTTCTTTTCCTTTAGATCTCTTATATTTCCCAATGTTGTATTCCTTGCTGTTTTCTTTGCTTACTGTGTGTCTCTCCACTAAACTGTGAACCTACGGGGGCTACAACTGAATCTGTGCTCTTCACCACTGCGCCCAGTGCTAAGCACGTCGTAGGTTCTCAACAAAAACATAGTGAACGCATTTAATGACAAAAAGTCAATTCTCCTCCCCGAGCCTCACTTTGCTGGGAGAATTAACGACTTAATTTCTGTAAAGTTCTTAGAAAGTTCTACCTCATGTTAATTAAATGAGCTGGTGCAGATCAGATGCTTAGCATAAGGCCAGACCTAGAATAAGCTCTCATTACTGATGATGACTTACTATTATTATCATAGTCATTGTTGTTGTTGTTTGCCCTGTCCATAGCACAGAGTAGGTGCCTAATAAAAATGTGAACTATCAAGGTAATGTAGCCTTGGACCGGCCACGAGGATGGAAGACATGGCTGCCGGAGGGGCTTCTGTTCTGGTCTGATGTGGGGAAGAAAGCATGGCTCAGAGAGGGGAATGCACTGACCCAAGGTCACCCAGCAATCTGAGGCAGCTCCAGGACCACAAGCCAGTGGTCCCTTAGGCAGATTTCTTCCCCTCTGTGTAATGGGCCTGTTGGCTCTGTCAAGGTCACAGAGGTCAGGCCCACTCCTGCCCCCAGCCCCAGCCCCCAAAGCCTGCACCATGTTGACCTGGGTGACCACTTGGTGGCACTGTGGAGTCGCCGCCGACTGGCAGCCAACCCAGGAACCCCAGTCCAGTATAGTGTGACCAAAAGACTTCAGAGGTTGCAAAACCAGTCTGAAAGGGTGTTCTGTGCTGCACTCATTCCAGATGAGGAAACTGAAACCCAGAGAGGGCAGGCGCTTTGCCAAAATCACAGAGTTAGTCCAAGAAGGAAGAAAAAGAAAATAGGCCTTTTATTGAACACCTACTATGTACCAAGTTTGCAACTATCTCATCCAGTTCTCACAACTGCCCAATGATGTGAGAACTACTCTCCCCATTTTCCAGATGAGGAGGCTGAGGCACAGAGAGCTTAAGTGGAACCACAGGAGCGAGGATGATAACAATAACTGTTGTAGAGAGTATTTACTGAGTGTCGCTACACATCGCAAATGATGCCAGTGCAGCTGGCCAGTCCCACAACAAGGCTGAGGCTTGGACACCAGGATCAACCCATTTTAAAGAGATGGAAACTGAGGATCAGGAAGAGGAAGCCATTTACAGAGGTTGCACAGCTGAGAAGTGTCTGTTGCCAGAACTTGCTCTTGTCCAGAGAGGATCTGGCTGATTCCTGCCCTCTCTCCCCAGTACCCCAGTCTCAGGCAACTCCCAGCCAGTATGACCTGACTTAAGCCAGACCTAGGCTTCCAGGGATCTGGAAAGACCCAGCCTCTTCCCAAAACCCAGAGCTGTCCAGACTGGCCTCCACAGCTGGCTGGACTGGGTTGCAGTCAGGGGTCTGGTGCCCACTGGAACTTGGAGGTGTGTGGAGGGGTCCCTGCACCTCTCCACATGGGTCCTGGACCAGACATGAGCTCAGGGATGCTGCTGCCTGTTCCTGAATGCTCTCCAGGATGTCCTGAAGGAAGAGGATGCTGGGGTGAGAACTACAGAGAAAAAGCCACGGAAAGATCATGAAGTAGAAAGAGCAGAGACAGCATAGAGGCAGCAACAGAAAGAGAACAAGGGAGCCAGAAAGACAGAGAGAAACAAATTCAAACAAAACAGAGAGGGACCAGCAGAGCCAGAAAGACAGCAGGCAGGGAAAGATGCATATCAAGACAGACAGACAGACAGAAGCAGAGAGAGATGGAGAGACAGAGACAAGGGGAGACAGGAAATCTCAGAGACAGATAAGGAAAAACGGACAGGGAGTCACAGAGACAGAGAGAGTCGTGCTGGAGTTGGAGACCCAGAGAGAGACAAGTACCAAGAGAAGGACCTCAGAGCGAATTCTCAGGGGAGAGGCACCAGGAGGTTGGGCAGAGAGAAGCCACCGAAAAGGAAGGGCTGGAGGAAGCTGAGAAGAGAAAAAAAAAAGATCAGAGAGAAGAAAAGAGGAAGCTGAGATTGCTGAGAGAGCAGACGGGGGAGAAACCAGACGGGGAAGATGGGAGGGAGGAAGGCAAGACCCCAGACCGTCAGAGGGTGGAGGCCAGGCCAGGGTAAGTGCGGCCCTGAGGTCAGGGGTCCTCCCAGCCTGGAGACCCTACCTGGGCCCTGGACACTGGGCAGCCAGGGCCCTCCGTCCACCACCTGCCCCTGGACCCTGGAACCTCCCTGGCAGCAGGGACCTGGCCGGGACCCTGGAGGGCACAGGCCAGGAGGTTGGACTCCCTGGCATCTTCCATTGCCGCCCACTCAGCAGGCCCCAAGCTCATCTTTTGCATAAAACAATATTCCTGTGGGGGATGCTAATGCGCCCTGCTATTTTTGCCTCTCCTGGATCGTGGTTTGCATACATTTGCATACCCTGGGAGAATTAAGCTGGGATCATGTAAATGAGCCCACCAGCTTGGGGGTAAGGGAGGCTCCTGGCTCCCTGCCTCCTAACAGGCTATGCAGGTCCCAGCCTCCCCCTGGGGCTGCCCTGGGCAAGATTGGTTGACATGAAGTCTCAGCTGTATGCATTCCCATCCTGAGGCCACTGTCCACCCAACTCTGGGGTCACCAGAGGGAGCTTTCAAAAACCCAGATCTGAGCCTGTCACATCTTTCTTTAAAGATTTCATGGCTTCTGAGGTCTTAGAATGAAGGCCCAAACCCCACAGGAGCCACAGGGACGAGCCCCTGTCAGCTCCCTGTAACCCACAGTACCCCTCCCTCCAGACACATGGAACTTGCTCCTCTCGGGGTTCAGCCTCACCAGACTTATGCCCACCACAGGCCCTTTGCACATGCTGTCCCTGCTGGCTACAATGTTTTTCCCTCCCCCTCCTCACTTACTTAACATCTAATTCATCCTTCAGACTCCAGGCAGAGTACCACTTCCGCAGGGAAGACTTCCTATCATCTCCAACCTCCTGAGCCTTATTTCCCCTTTTGCAGACTGGGAACGGTAGAAAATTTCTTCAAAGGGCTGGGTGCACCAGATGTTCCGACCATGCCCGGTACATAGTAAGCCCTCAATAAACGAACAAGCATCTGGTTATCGTTATTATTATTGTTGTTGTTAGTGCTCTCTCATTTGGGTCTCAGGACTCCTGGTCCAGTGCTCTTTGAGCTGCCCCCCAACCCCACACCGCCCCAGAAGCTGGACACACCCATGCTGCCTCCTCCTCCTGTGGTTGGTGTCCTGCAGCCCTGCTGACAGTGAGGCTGAGAACATGTTTGAGTCTCAGAGCAGCTGAGCAACACTTGCCCTGGAAATGAAGTGTTTTCCTCCCAGAAAGTTCTACCCCTGACGTCAAGGGTCTCTCCTGTTCGGCAAACCAACACTTGTTTATTAGGAGACTTTCAGCTGCCGGGGCAGGGATCAGCCTGGCTAGATTTGCATGGGGGCCGGTGTGCCCCGCACGTGAGGGCATCCGTGGCTGGCAGATGAGCAGGGCCGGTGTGGACAAAGGCCCTACAGGAGGGTGCGGTGGGCAGGAAGGCGTCATCAGGCAATGCTGCTCCCGCCTGCTGTGTCCCGGCTTTCCCAACAGACATCGAGATGCTGTGGAAGAAAGAGAAAATTATCTTCCTTGCCTTAACTGTCTCTTTGGGGAGGAAACCCCCACTGGTCCCGCCCACACAAGAGTATCTGCTTGTCAGGAGAGACCCCCAGGGCTTCCTCTTCCTGAAGGGGACCAATCCTTGCTGAAGGGTAAGGTTTCCACTTGGGAGTCATGGTTCCACATAGCTGGAGCCCCATCTATTCAGCTGAGGGAAGCAGATGGTCTACTATGTAACTACAGAAGGGGTTCCAGCCTCACTCCATCCTCCAAGCCCCTCCAAATGGATATGAATGTTAGATCTGGACTGGAGACACCAATCCCGCTTCCGCACTTGCAAGCTGAATGCTGCTCAGAACCACCTCAGAGACTCAGTTTTCCCGTCTGAGAAATGGGGACAGCACCCAGATTTACTTCATTCATGGGGCTGTGGAGAGGGTTAAAACAGCGCAAGCAGCTCTGCACAGAATAAGTGCTCAATAAATGCATCTTCTTTATCCTGACAATTTTCATTAAGTCTTAGGTTCCTACCCAGTTTATCACCATCTCCCCATGTGACTTTGGGCAAGTCCTTACTCTGCTGTGGGTCTCAGTTTCCCCATTTGAAAAGCAAGAGGGTTGGTCCAAATGACTCATGCTATTTTACCATTTCCGGTCCCAAGTTCTGTCTCTTGAATTCTGTTTCTCTGAAGCCATTATTGGATTCACCCATTTCCCAGAAGCATCAGCCTAAAGGGTCGAAAGGTTAACTTGAAAATATAATTCCCAAAGGAGATAGAGCCTCCATAAACTCACCCCCCCAACTCTGCCCACGACCCCACCCCCCAAAAAGGGGGCTCTTGACAGTAATAGTGGCCACACTGACACAGCACCTACTATGTGCCAGGTACTCTTCTACATACAACCATGAGATACGACCAGTGCCTCCATTTTACAGATGAAGAAACCAGAAAATGGAGGCACAGAGAGGTTAAGCAACTTTCCCAGGATCACTCAGCTCTAAAGTGGTCCAGCTGGGATTTGAACCCAGACCACTGGGCTCTCAACCCCAACGCCCCCTCAACAAACAATGGAATATCGCGTATGCTATAGATCAATGGCAGGTGATGTTTGGGTGAGCAGAGCCTCTGGGGTCGTAGACACTGCCCTGTTCTCAGCAGATGCCCCAGACTGGCCTCACGGGGTCATGATAGGAGGCCAGCTCAGCCCGGGGGAGGCCAGACCACCCCCCTTCCAGCCTGTTGGTTTAAAGAAGATTCAATTATCTCAGCCGTGGTGCACACACTTGCTCTGATGAGCTGAAAAGGGAAAATGAGGAACCTGCATCACATCCTGTCGGAGATAGAGGTAACATCACTTTTAAGGAAACAAGCCTGTGGTCAATTGTTCAAGATTGATTCAGTTGGTGGCCAGCACGGGCAACTGGGAAAGGCACAGCAATCTGCCCTGATCACATCACCTGCATTTGTCAGGGGCCATGGGCTGGGTTGGGTGGCCAGGGTGTGTGGCTGCCAACCCCCAACCGACAGCCTCCCTGCACCAGGGGTTCCGGAGAGCTGCTCAAATGGGCATTTCGAGGTGGATGTGTGCGAGGGCCTGCTTGCTCTCTCAAGGCAGGACAACGGCAGATTTCAGGCCTTGCCAGACTGTGGGCATGAGCTGGGTGGCCTCGGAGAGGGGAAGATATGTAAGGGCCATCAACTCACAGCAGTTCAGCCATTGTCTATTGAGTATCTCCCACGCACCATGAGGATACAGCCTGAAAGTGTGTTCCAAGCAGAAAGGGCACTGTGTGCAAAGGCCCTGAGGTAGGGGCAGGCTTGGCGCACTTGAGGCCATGCAGGAAGGTAAACCTGGCTGGAGTGAGGACGCTTGGGAGGAGATGGCACCAGATGAGGTCTTTTGAAAGCTGTGAGTGAGCCACTGACATTTCTCAAGCATTTCCTCTGTGCCAGGCATCAGGCTCCGTCTGCCCCACAAAGGAGGCTCTGAGATGAATCCCAGATCATAGATGAGGAGTCTGAATGTCAGAGAGGTGACGTCATTGCCAGGTCCCATAGGTAATACATGGCGGAGCTGGATTCCTTTTCTAACATGACTTGTCCCATGAGCCCAAACCCACTTGCCCCAAACCATAGCTTCCCAGCAGGACAGAGCCTGGAGGTGACTTTGAAAGGTTAGTAACAGGAAAACTGAACCTGGCACGGGGGAGGCAAGGTTCCCACCGCCATGCTGAGAATCTGCCATCCTTGCATAAAGCAGAGACCACCACAGGGAACTGTTATGCCGGAGCCAACGTACTCGTTTTCTATAAGCTAACGGACATTATTTTTTGTTTGAAATTCACCACCGTAGAGCATTTCAGAACAGTTTTGGGTACACATACCCTCTGGGATGTCTTTTAAAAATCCATAGTTCCAAGTCTCTTGAGTTTGTAATATGCTGCCTACTGTACCCACTTTGGAGAGTCGCCATGTGTATTCATTGTATAAAGGCTCTGATAAGTCCTGCTGCAAAGGAACCTGTTTCTATTTCTTTAGCCCAGCATTCCCCAAATTCATTTGAGCAGGTAATCTTTACAAACATGACCAGAATTGGGATTTCCCAGGAGTGGTAATGGGAAATGCTGGTCCTGGTAATTAAGAGAAGCTAAAATAATCCTTCTGACCTTGGAGGAAAAACATCTGAATGTTTTGGAGGGTGGGTGAGATGATGAAGTGAGGGAGAAATATTTAAAGAACCAGGGGAGCTATTTCATGCAGAGAAATGAAGGTGCAGAAAAAGGCATGGTGGCCACCTTCAAATCCCTGGGAGGTTCCCAAGTGTTCTGTGGGGACACTAGTATTTCCTCTCTAGTTCCAGAGAACAGAGCTAGGATCAGTAAGTGATGTTAATGTAGGAAAGGAGTTACACCTTTCACTGGAGACTGGCTGTCTCGGTAGGAAGTGAGTTCCCCATCACCAGAAGTGTGCAAGTAGAAACTAGAAGACGATTGTATTAGGGCTGCTAAAGAACAGATTCCATCCACAGTTCTGGAGTTTCCAAGGCAAAGATACGTTGACCCAGGCCCCAGCCATGCTATATTCCCCTCTTCTCTCAAGGCTGGGCAGAAGGAAACCAGGCACGTCACATCCATCTGACATTAGGAAAATTCTTATAAATAAAATAGTTCCTATAAAAGCTGTATGAGCTCTCTCCAGTCCATCTCATCTCGACAGTAATAAAACCAAGCCCGTAACTCCAGCATTGCCTTGCCATCCACAAGAGGAAACGCTTATTTTAAGAAGTATAAAAAGAAAAGTAATTTACAGTCTATTAACATTTTAAAAAGTGTGTTAGCAAGAAGGGGGAATACATTACGGGCTCAGTGAGGGATCCAGAGAGAAGCGGAAAGTGGAATCGTATAAATTTTCCTTGGTCTCCATTTTAACCTGCAGAACTGCAAACTCATCCTGAATCCTTTCCCCTTTCCTGGAGAGGAAGTTCTGGTGGAGAAAGAGTGGCCAGGAAGCAGGCAGTGAGGTGGGTCCATGAGGCAGTGGGAAAGGCATGATGGGGCATGGATTAGGAAATCGGGTTTAAGTTCCCATCCCAGCTGGGGTTCCCAGGGGCTCTGCCAGCTGCCCACCTTCTAGGAGCCTCAGGCAGATTGTCTAATCAATGGACATAATAGATCCCAGGGTCCTGTTGTTTCATGTAAGTCTTAGCTTTCCAGCAGACTTGGGAGGGCTCCGTGACTGGAGAGGCGCCTTGTGCGTCGTGGTCCTCACCTAGCTCCGTTGTCTCCTTGCCCGGCTGCGGGCCCTCCATCTGCGGTCCCAGAATGGAGCTAGGTCCTGGGCAGGGGAGTGGAGGAGGGCGGGGATGGATTGCAAACTGCAAATCAAGGGAAATACATGGAAACAATTATAGAAGGATGGACTGGAAGGGAAAACAAACCGTTCCGTCCAAGGAACGCAACCACAGAGGACTAGCCAGAGGGAGGAACTGGGGCCTTGGAGGAGATGCCAGCGGCCGAGCAGGGGGAACAGGCACTCCAGGAGGTGGTGACATTCCATGTGGTTGGCACATGGGCCCTGAACCCTGACTCAGACCTTCACCTGCCATGACATGCCAAATAAGCCCCTTCTCCTTCCAGGGCAAGCATCTCACACACACACACACACACACACACACACACACACTATAACTTATATATACACATAGACACAGGCCAACACAATCTCACACATGTGTACACATGCACACAGAAAATACGATCACACACACCGATGCCTTCCACACACACGGGCCATTACAATCACACATGCACGCACATGCACACAGCCTAACTTACCCACACACCCTCCACAGCAATCACACACGTGCTCACATCCATTTCTTGTACACATGTGCCAGTGTGAGCACACGTGTGCATACATGCCACACCTCACTCCCACCTGCATGTGTGCGTCTGCACAACTGCCCATGTGCACGTGCATATACACGTGTGCTTAGTGCACACACCCACACTCACGCACGCTCCCAGTCATTTGCATTTACACACGCGTGTGCACCCACGGTCAACACACCCATAATCTGACATATGTTCCACACACTCAGCCACGTTCTCAGCGTGCACCTCTGCCCACGTGTGCACGCACAGACAAGCGGTGACCTTCCCACCCTCCTGGCCACCAGAACGCAGGCCCAAGCGCCACACACATGCAGGTTCTCCCAGGAAAGCGTCCGTGAGCGCCAGCATGGGGCGTGGGGCATGCGGCTGCCGGACAGACGGCTTCTCACAGCCCGGCTGCCTCCCTGCCTGAGCCTGTGTTTGTGCAGCTGTTCCCTCTCCTCCGAATGTGGGGAGGGGGCAGGCCATGGCCAGCCCTAATCAAGAATTTCACACCCCCATCGGGACCAGGCCCCTCTGCAAACCCCGCATCCAGCTGGGTGAAAGCCCAAAGCTGGCTTTGTTCGCCGGGCTGCTGGGGACAGCAGGGGCCCCACTCCGGGACATGCCCCCGCCCAGTTCAGAGGGCTGAGCTCCAAACTCGCCCATTGTAGGGCTGTTCCAGGCCTGAGCCCCACTTCCCCCAGCTGGGTGTTCCGCCAATGGCCAGCAGGCACCAAACGGGCCTCAAAGAGCCCCCCTGCCATCGCCCTTTCCCAGGCTTTATCAGTGGGGGGGGGTGGGGAGAGAGGATGGGCCCCAGACACATCAGCAACCGGCACGCAGGGGTGCCCAGTGAGGCTGAGCACGTCTGCTTTTAAGATTTGAATCTGGAGAGGCCTGTTCTCAGAGCCATACGCCAGCCCTCCCTCCCATTTTTCCAGCCCAGCACCCTCAAAAATGTCGCAGGGTCTCCCCTCTTGGCCTTGGCCCAAGCTACCTACCGCCCATCTCAAATGCCTATTCCCCCTACCTACCGCCCATCTCAAATGCCTTTCCTCTCTTCTCAGCATGGACAACTCTTACTCATCACCTTTCAAGACCAGTGCTGATGCCTCCTCCTCCAGGAAGCCCTCTGACTCCCTGCTTTTCCTGCATCTTGCCCTCTCACGTCGCGCTGTCAAATTCTTGCTTCACTCATCCGCATCCTGGACCATGAGATGCCGAGGGCATCCAACTGGGCTTCCATCAACCTAGCAACCCTCAAACTGGCACAAGGCCTGGCACATGGTGGATAATTGTTGAAGGAAGGGAGGATTACTGGGTGGAGAGACATGGCGAAGTTCTGCATCGGTGCCTCACATCTGTGGGCCTCGTGCAATGAATTAAGTCCCTTAATTTAAGAGTTAAATAATACTACACATATATTACAAAAGTTAGGTAAATTTCCCTTTCCCTCCTGTCATTACCTAGAAAGCTGCCAACTTCTAGATTATAATTATGTACATGAATAATGAAATTAGCATATCTACCAGCTCACTCCCTGCTCATTACATACCAGCAAGAGCCATGTGTTCTGATTCCAAATCACCCACCTCTGGAGGCTAGCTGCGCTCCGGGCTCTGGAACAGCCCATGGGGAGAGGCTACAAGCCCACCCTGCACACCCTCAGCCTGGGGGCTTCAGGGAGCCCTTAGAAACCCTGCTAGTTAGATAGTTCATGTCCCATGAGGCTTTAACCTCATCCAATGGGTGGATGGGAGGCACTGGTTGAACTGGCCACGGCAGGGGGCTGGGGCTGTGGGATGGTGATGCTGGGAAGAGGACCTGAGTCCTGGGTCCACTCTGCACTGCTGTGGGCCCGTAGATGGGCTTCCTCCCCAACCCGTGAAGTGGGTGTGGCAGTATCGTCTGCTTTGTCGAGGACTGTGGGTAAACAGGATGTGCTCCTAAAAGCAGTGTCTGGATGAAAACAGGCTTGGGTTCAAGATACGGCTTCACCACTCATCTGTTAAATGACATCATTCTGAGCCTCAGTTTCCCCTTCTGTAGAATGGGTATGATAGGCAAGTGAAGTTCCATTGTGCCCATTATATAATAAATACTCAATAAACATAAAATATGGTGGGTGTCTTTGTCAAGATTGGTGTTCACCCCCTAGCCTGAGGGATCTCCCTCCCTGTGATGGACTAAATGTTTGTCTCCCCTCCCCCGCTCCACCAAATTCATGGGATGGTATTAGGAGGTGGGGCCTTTGGAAGGTAATTAGGATTTATGAGTTCATGAGGGTGGCATCCTCATGACGGGATTACTGGCTTTATAAGAGTCACCAGAGAGCTTGCTTCCTCTCCTGGGTCTGCCACGTGAGGATACAGCAAAATGTGGGTAGTCTGCAACCCAGAAGAAGGCTCTCCCCAGAACCTGACCATGCTGGCACCCTGATCTTGGACTTCCCGGCTCCAGAATTGTGAGAAATAAATGTCTGTTTGTAAGCCACCCAGTCTGTGGTAATTTTGTCATGGCAGCCCGAGCTTGTGAAGGTATTCTCCCAGCAGGAATCCTTGTCGTGAAATGGGACCAAAATTAAACCCAGAAGTCAGCACTTGGATTGACCTTCCTCTCTACAGGGCATCCCTAACTCCTGGATCCCCCTGGAATTCTACCAGAATGCCAGGTTCTGGACTCTCTCCACCCAACACCATCCAAACTGCCTCCAGGTGGAGCTGAAGCCATGACCAGGTGGATGGTTAAGGACTGGCCCAGTCTTGTTCAGGTGCACTCACACATTCAAACTCATCCAAGGCTCACTGTGGGCAACGTAAGAGGCAAAGGAGAGCCAGCGAATGCTTGAGAGCGGGGGAGAGCTGGCTGCACCGTCTGGCCCTGCAAACTGTAAAGTGCTTTGCAAACTGTAAATGTCAGATTGCTCTGGGGACCTTTGTCCAGACTCCCCTGACCCCACAGAGAAGGACTCAGAGCCCCAGCTTGTGCCATCTTTGACCCCTGACTTTGCCTCCTCAATACTGCAGGGCTGGCTGGCTTCCGCTTCCCAAATTGGCTAGTCACCTTCACAAGCAACACCGTTGCCCCTGGGGGGACCAAGATGAGCAACGCCTCCTCCTAGTATTTACCATCTAGAGCTTTGCCACCCCGAGCTGAACTTCTGTGCCCAGTGACTCTGATTGGGTCCATATTGTACCCATTTCACAGATTAGAGATGAGTCAATCCCGGATTCATGGATAGAGTCAATGAAGCATCTAGCTGAGACCCACAAGGCTGGGCACCTTCAAAAGAAGAGGCTAATTAAAAAGAATGAAATATTGCCTTTTGCAGCAACATGGATGGACCTGGAGATGATCATTCTGAGTGAAGTAAGTCAGAGAGAGAAAGACAAATATCATATGATATCACTTACATGTGGAATCTAAGAAAATAATACAAATGAACTTATTTACAAAACAAGAAACAGACTCACAGACATAGAAAAAAACCTTATGGTTACCAAAGGGGAAAGGTGGGGAGGGATAAATTAGGAGTAGGGAATTAACAGATACATACTGCTATATATAAAATAGATAAACAAGGATTTACTGTATAGCACAGGGAACTATATTCAATATCTTATAATAACCTGTAATGGAAAAGAATCTGAAAAAGAATATATTTTTATATATATTCTTATATACGTATTATATATATATATATATATATATAAAACTGAATCACTTTGCTGTAACCTGAAACTAACACACTATCGTAAACCAACTAGACTTCAATTAAAAAAAAAGAAGAGGCTACACATTCCTCATATTTTTCAACCTCCTCCACACTCCATCCTCCCGCCCCCATAGCCTGGGAAGGACACACCCCATGGAGGTAGCTAACGACCTGGACACTTACTACGTGCTCTATGGCCTTTGCATATATTCCCTCATTTAATCCTTGCAAAGCACTGAGCACAGTGCCTGGCGCACAGTAAGAGTTCAATAAAGGTTTACAGAAAAGATGAATGAGTGAATGAATTCAGCAACAACAAGAAGAAAGCAAATCTCATGACTTCAGCCCAGTGCTGGGAGTCAGACAGACCCGGGATCAAATCCTTGCTCTGCCATTTATCAGCTGCGTGACCCTGGCCAAACTACATCCTTCCCTGGAGACTTTAGTCTTCCCATCTGTAAAGTGGGCATGGTGATGCCTGCCCATCAGATTGGTGTGAGAATGAAAGGAAGTGCAGCATATAAAGTGCTCGGCACCACACCTGGGTCAGCCCAGAGCACAGACAAAAGGGTTTTGTTCTTGTCATTGTTGTGGATGAGGTCGCTGTTTCCATCTGTCCCCTCAGCTTGCAGTCACGGGTCAGGAAATGAGAACCCAGAGGTCACGCATGCATGGTCTGGAGGCCCCATCCGGCTCCCAGATGTGTTTGGTTTGGCTGGCATGGCCCTTCGTCCAATTTTTTTTTCTAATTGAAATAGTTGCCAACATTTCAAGATTGAGGGATTTCACATAAAATATAGATTTTTTTTTTTTTTTTTGGATCTCTCTTGGAACTTCAGAAGTTTGGGCCACACCACAGAATCACATTCAGCCAGAGCCAAGGTCAGCTGAAGCCAAGATGCATCCACCCCTGGGGATGCGGCAGGAGCTCGCCAGGCTGCCCCAGTCCCCACCCCTCCGTATTGCCTCACTCCCAGCCAGCTTCACTCATTTAGGTAATTCACCCGCCCCTGGAGGATTTTGCATTTGGAAGTCCTGCTCTAGATTTTCTCTGCTGTGAGATGAACCAAGGAAGGTCCAAGTCATCATTAACC